CTCAAACAGGTGTGTAAACAGATTAAGAGCAAAAAATAAATAGTAAGAATTAGTCAGTTATTTAAATTGATAGCTACCTTTCTTACTGCTGCATTTTCTGAGCATCATGTGGAGATCAGCCTCTCTCTCCTGCAGGGAGCAGGTTTTATCTCTGCTCTCGTCTTGTTGCTCATATTCCAAAACAGAAGCTGCGCTCTCCTTTCTTCTGTCCATCAAGAGCTAATCCACGGGATGTCAAAACTGTAAGCGTGCTGTCCTCGCATCTGCCAGCTTAGAACCACCGACCGGACCAGAGAGGAGGTTCTGAAACAGCCCGGCTGTGTGCGGTCACTGGACCGAGGCCGAACGAATCGAGCCGAAACGCAAAGCTGCTGCCAGGGTGGAGAGTAGTTGTTGCTCCGGTTTAAAACGTTCACGGTTCTGTGCCCCCTCTGAAAACTTGTGCATGACAACTTTGCACTTAGCTGCAACTCTGTTTCTGATGAGAATAGAAAGTTCTGCCGACATCCTTGCTAACTTGTTAGCGCTGCATGTTGTTGTGATCACGTGAGCGCTGCATGCTGGATCCAAGCGCTGCTGGATAGAAACACTGGAGTGGAGTCAGTGAACTGCTTATATTGGAGCGCTTATATCGGACATTTTTTATGCAGGCCGATAAAATCCGATACTCATTTTTGATATCGGACCAATATCCGATATCGATATCGGATCGGGACACCCCTACTTTCTACTAATTTTTCACTTTTCTTGTTCTACTTTTAGCCAAAGTCAGTTGTTCAAATTTAATCCGCATTAACAGTTTTCAGCTTTGCCAGCATTTATCAAGAAAAATCTTTCAACACTTTTGCAGGAAAGGCAATTTTCTCTAGCTTAATTTGCTCATTAATCATCTTAAAAACCTTTGTTGTTGTTGTTGTTGTTGTTGTTTATTTGGCATGAATTGTCTCTTCTGATCTTTATTAGCCTGTTTTTCATCTTTTCTTGCAGGGAGCTAAAGGAAGACCTGCCGTCCCCCTCTGTGGTGCAGTGCTTCCTGCCTCAGCCCACAGTGGTGACCACCGTCCACCTCCGCAGGGCCTCAGGACTGCAGCCCCCCAAACAGACAGGTGGGATCCGTTCACACATACCCCATAGACTYAAATAATTTTGTTGTGTCAGTTCTGTCTGTTAGCAAAATATCTCATAMACCACTAAACAGATWTAAATGAAACTCACCAATAAATCGCTGTTCATCGAAAACCAATTCAAGATGGCYGCCACAGCGGATAAGTAACACATTAAAAGCCTCTGACTCAGTTTTATAGCTACTGAGCTGAAATTTGAGGTGGTAGTAGCTGAGAGTCATTGACAACACATACTCTGAGTGTGACATTGCAGATGAACAGTAATCACCTCAATCCATCTCTGTTGTTTGTGTTGGGACCCTCAGCTCCAGATGTTTACGCTGTGGTGCGATGTGAGAGCGACACCATCAGGACCAGAGTGTTCAGGCAGGAGGGAAACCTGGAGTTCAACCTCAGAGCCATCTTCTACAGGCGCTACCCCGACGCTCACATCACTGTGGAGGTTTGACATCTTCACCAGTCCTGTCAGGAACTCACACAGGTAGAGACTGATCTAACGCCAGGTGTGTGTGTGTGTGTGTGTGTGTGTGTGTGTGTGTGTGTGTGTAGTTGTGGAGCAGAGGTCTGCTGTGGGACTCGCTGCTCGGAGCGGCTCGACTCCAGATCTCCGAGTCTGAAAGGACTCGGCGACACGTGATCAGCCTGCGAGGCGGGCAGCCACGCTCAGGACCCGGGGGTCGGGTCCACGTGGAGACCTCCTCCAGCCTCCGCCTCACTGACTTGTGACGGCGCACCTGTGTGGTCGCCATGATAATGCAGGGAGCTGATAGACTGTGACAGACAGAACATGTAGAGTTTTATCATAAGTTTTGTTATAATTTATTAAAAAAAACAAGACATGCATGAAAACTACTTTTTCATTTTCTTATGATTAAATGACAAATGGTAAGTTGTGGTCTTTTCCTTTATTAAAAACTATTTAACATTAAGTTTAATTGACAAAAAAAGACTAAATCAAAACAAAGTTGCACAACAATACTAACCAACATGAAGGAATAACAATTATGTGACTAATGTTGTTCCTGAGCAATAATTCAACATCTGTCGCTCGTATTTGAAGCTCCACGAGGCTGTTCCAGAGCAAACATTTGATACGTGGCTCGTTTTTCTCCAACTCTTATCTCTTTCTTTAGTTGACAGAATTTGTTTATCAGGAGCCGGAGCCTCACCGCCTTTGAAAGTGAAATATCAGCTGTATTAGAGTGAGCTGGCATTAAGGTTTGAATGTTTCACTCATGCTCATTCAGTTATTTCTCCTGCTCTGAATCTGTCGGATCACTTCTTCACTTGTAAAAGTTTTTTAAAAAATTGGTTGTTTTACGTTTTCCTACATTTTGGTTTGTACTCTAATCCCTGACATGTTCAGTGTTGCTTTCCATAAAAACTTCATGTGATACTGAAATAATGACAACAGAATACAGGACTTCAAATTTTATATATTTTATTTTATCTTGACTCTATTTGCAGTCCTCAACAACTTATAAATGTCAAAATGTAGGACTTTTAGCTTAGATTATTACAGTCATGATGAAACATCTGTTCCCTTCGTCTTTGCACGATAGAGCTTTAATCAACATTTGGGGCATTGTGGGTAGCTGGGCTCTCCCTTTAGCGACTGGATGAAAGGTTTGGTCATCCAGCAGCAGATCTGCAGCACTTCCACATCTGGAGGTGTGTTCGGATGGGACTGGATGCCTCCTCAGGTGAGCAGACCACAGAGAAGACCCCAGACATGACTTTAGAACACCTTAGAGCCAACCCAGAAAGAGAGACCTGTGAAAGCTGCTGGAGGATGGATGGATGGATGGATGGATGGATGGATGGATGGATGGATGGATGGATTAAAAGTTGAAAGAATAAAAGGATGGATGGATGGATGGATGGATGGATGGATGGATGGATGGATTAAAAGTTGAAAGAATAAAAGGATGGATGGATGGATTAAAAGTTGGATGGATGGATGGATGGATTAAAAGTTGAAAGAATAAAAGGATG